CTTTGTACATGGATGGAAAATTAATACCTCAATCTGAGCTTTTTCTAGACATGACGTTTAATGATATTGAAAGTTATTCTTATTTACAGCATTAATGGTAGACCTAATAATGCAATGGTGAACCATGTGTCCATTTCTTAACAATCCTGTTGGATCAGCTGTGAAGGATGAGATGAAGTCCTGCAGGAGGTTTTTTTCTTGAAGAAAAGGTTTGACAGCTGGAAGAGATAAGAGGTGAAATATTGAATTTCATTGTCATTAATGGCTGATAACATGCATGTAATATAAGAGAGCATAACTTCTGATGATAACAGCCTAATATGTATAATTAATTACTCATCAGTGGAAATTAATTTCCATTCTGAAAGCTAATCTATCTTGCTTCTAAAACGGTCTCTAATGTTTATATCAACAACACGGGTCTCCAATGCTCATTCTGGTAAATCTTAGCTCAGTATTTAGTCCTGTTGTACAAATCACACCCCACCTGGGAACAAATGTACACACCCTAGTAAACAAATAATAAAACGTGGTTTAGAACAAATCAAATGAGAGATGCAGATAAAAACAGAAATCTGTTTAAAAGAGCAGCAAAACTAATTACCTGTTGCTGATATTATCAGCATTGACAAAGTTCATCCTGTTTGTCAGGTAATCATTTTGGCTGAATAAGACAGACGACCCACTCTGCTCTATTTTTGTTCCGTGACGTCAGTAGCAAACTGGTCTATGTTTTCTTAATGAAATTTTACTCGCAGGATTTTCTAGATTCATTGAGAAAAAAGAAAAGAGCATATTTCATGTTAAACAATTGAGCAGCCAATTAAAAAATATATTAATTAAAAGTATAGGAATGGTTTAGAAAAGGCGCTTTATAACTATGCAGGAGTAGGTTACAGTATAGCATAGTGTTATAATGCAGACATATTTATGGTTATTTCTCAATCGACTGCTTGTTCCCTTTTTATTGATGAGCTTCCTAAAAAAAAAAAATTCTATTGTAGTAATTTTCTTTTGGTGCTATAGAGATTACATGTGATAAATAATTGCTCCTTCTGTAAAAAACAAGCTTATGTTGTGGCTTAGAGTGTTTAGTCTTAAGGATATTCAAAGACAAAGTTTGCAGAAATACCTTCCTGTTTTAACAACCCCTGTTTTTAATTTATCCACATATCGTTTCCATCCCAAAGGTCTCATTTAGTTGTTCCCACGGCGACCTCATCATGCTGCAGCATTGTTGTTGTCGTCTCTGTCCTAGAATGAACTGAGCAGCAGCCAAGGGAGCTGTTTTGATTCTTCAAAAGGAAACACATCGAGCTACATTTTAATTATTCAGAAACAATATTTCACTTCAGATTAGAGCTAATTAAACTTACTGTAATTAACATTTTTAGTCTCTGGAAGGTTTTTGTGTTTCCTCAAGCTTAAGACATCTTATGATGATTAAACTATAATTCATAAGAAATATACTTCTAATCATTGATGAAAGGGATACTTTCATACACTTAGATATATATAAAAAAGTTTTTAAGTGCTGAAATGCAATGGTGGGACAAATAAAACAGTATTATTCAGCAGCCGGGGACTGAGTGCAGTGTCTAATAATCTTGCTGTCAAAGATTCTCCTTCAAGCTTATTCTACTAAACAATATATAATTTTTCTTTTTCTTATAAACATGATTACATGTTTTAAAGTCAGACCTAAGATGATATACAGAATTTGTACATTTTAATCCATTAATGAACTTCTTCTTGAAGGCTCTCTGCAATATGAAAAGTCATGCTTTGTTTATAAAAGGGAGTTGACTCGGATAAAACCAAATGCATGCTTTAAAGTGGCTGTTCATGTGTTAATTGTGTTCTGGGTAATCCACTGCCTCTAGTTTTTACATTTCTTTAAATCTTTTGGATCTAATGCTAAAACTTAGTAGAAGATGAATAGATGGATTAAGCCAGTGTTAATCTGTCATGGTGAAGAATAGCCTGAGCCAAAAAAAAAAGCAAAGCTGTTGATCTAGTGTGTTAACATTTAAACTTCCACCTATATATAATATATACCTTCAATTAGTCTGCATCTCTTTAGGGTTCCAATTCAGTAACATAACTGTTCATTTTTGCCCAAAATATACAGTAAAAAGCAATTTTAATCTTTTTTCTCAGCATTAACAACAAGCTTCTACATGTTAAGCTTCCAGGGCGTCATTGTTTTTACGGCCTTGAATGCTCTCTCATTCAGTGTCAATTGTTGCAGGACTTAGCATAAAAAACTGTTTGTTTTTAGCTCAAATGCATGGCTCTGCAGACTAGCTGTGATTGTCTTTTGTTCTGTGTGCTGGTAAACCCATTTTAAGCCTGTTACCACAACCTAATGGTTTGCCTGAAATGTTTCATCCAGTTTACTGAATAATCCTAATATGTCATAAATGTCATTATCAAGGATTCCTTATTTTAGCTGCGTTTGACTAGAGAGTTGCTGCTATGCTGCTGAAGAAAAATGTTGTCCTGATTCAGAAACTCCTGACATGCTGTGCTGCAAAACCATGTTGATGTTTTTAGGTTAAAGGCCCTAAGAATACCACTCTGCTCTGGTAACTAATTTTTTTGCTCTGTTTTATGTCCCTACAAAAAAACACTTTGTATCAAATGACTGAAAGGAGCATCTAAAAGATTCCTCAAAAAGTTCAACATTTATATTTACTGTCACTCAATCCAAAACAAACTTACATTGATTCATTTCATTCAGTCTTAAATGCAGCTGATCACATACTGTATTGTTTCAAGGTACTTTACAATTGAGAAGAGAAATGTTTTAGTTATCAAACATTGTAGATGGTTGTAAATCTAAAAGTACAAAACAAATAGAATGGTCTGGACAGTTAGACCAGCTTCTAGATGAGCGTGTAGCAGTGGCATTGTGTCTTATATTTGCAGAACAGGAAGAAACAGGAAGAAAGCTCCTTCAGAGCCTTAGAAGAAGAAAATTAAAGAAATAATATATAATCACGAAATGCTTCCTAAAAATTACAACAGAAGCCATACAGAAGTTTATAAGACCTGCAGCCCCTCCAGCAGCTCTGAATGTTTTTATTGGTGCCAACAAGAAAAGGTAGTCCTCATAATAAATTTACAAGCACAAGCAGCATTTTTTTTCCTTAACATAGCAATTTTTTTTTCTATTTTTTGCAGTTTAAGATGTTAAAGAAATAAGATTCAGATAAAAAGTCAGCTGTTTTCAGTTTTCTACAACTTGTTGCCTTTACTATGTTCCTTTTTCTTTTTTATTTGATGTTTTGCATGTTACAAGAGGCTAATAGTTGTGTCAAAATGGCGACATTGAATGCTTTATTTCATTTTCTTTTTCATCAGTTTAAAATATTTCTCTAATCTTCATCTATAATCTGCAATGAACGGGAAAGTGGAACGTCATCCCAGAGTGATGAGCAGTTTTAATTAAAGTCATCACTAACAACAAAAGGGACCAAGCAAGGGGTTTCAGAGTGGACCTATTTGCAAAGTTTTATAAATGATTGAGCCTGGTAGAATGAATAATAAAATCAGTGAAATCCAGATACTTCCAGATGCTATTCCCCTTGTGGTCTAATATTAAATCAGACTTTCTGTTTGTGGTAAGATTACAGAATATCTTTATTTTATAAATTAAAGCTTCTTTTCCCCCCTTACTAGTCAAACAAGCTGAATTTCATCATTTAGAACTACTTTGTTAAAGATGTTAACACATTTTTTGTGGGACTGAGATCAGGGTTGTGCAGCAGCCTCTCCACAACTTTTATTTTAATGTCCTTATGCTACTTATTTGTCCTAAAGCTGTAACTTCCTGGCTTCCTTGCTTCAAAGTAAAGTTGTTTTTAAGATGCAATTCATTTTTTAAAGTGCACCCATCTCTCCTGCAGAGATGAACCCGGTAAACACCAACATAATACCAACAATTTTCTCAGGCTTGTAATTGCTCTTCAAAGTGTATTAATGGATAATGCAGCCATACACAATTTCATTTTGTTTCCTTAGACAAAATGATGTATCTCAAATAAAAAATAAATTTTACAGGAGTCAAAACCTGTTATTTTATGTATCTACTATTTTTGAAAATGCTTTTAAATTCATGGTTAATATTAAAACTAATTTGGATCCCTTTTCATACCTCACGAGGATATGCACAAATAATTGACTTGTAGAAAAATCTACAAATATATAAGAAAACATTTATCAATAAATTATGAGAGATCAACTGACAGGAACCGCTATGGTGTAGCTTGAATTTTGAATAAATAAGGGACTGAGGAAATAAAATCATATATAATAAAATGGAAAGAGATCCAACAAATATTAGCATAGAAAAGTTATTAAAAAAATAATCGAAATCCATGTCAGTATTTGATTGAAAACAAAACAAAAGGTATAGCAGTTGTCATAAGGCCAAAATAGTAAATGTGGGATATTTGATGTATCGTTTTGTATTTGCTGCATTTTCTGCCCTATTTATTTTGTTTTTTAAATTATTACATCAATGAAGAAATATAATGAATATTGAGTGATGTTTATCGTTATGGATCACAAGTGGTGCAGCAGTCACTCATGCACACAGAAGTGCATGAGTGACTTTTTCCCGGTGGGCTGCATCAGTTATTTGATGTAGAAGCATATTTATAGAGGAGCATTCTGTGACCAGTAACCAAGAGAACTTTAGGGAGAATGAGTCTTTTTTTTTTCTTTCAAACCAGCAGCTTTTCAGAGGAATGACTCAAATTGTTCAATTAAGGATTGTGTCTGCAGCCTCAAACTGTCACACAAAGTCCAAAGGGCTTTAAGAATGTTTCTGTGATTAATGGTATCAATGGCAACTTTTATCTGTAAGCTAAACCTTCAAGGTGAAATAAAGAAAACCAGGTCTCTATTGCAGATGCACATGATTTTTTTTAATATTTTTTTTTAATATAAAATTAAATGTTATGCCAATTGACTGAGAAAAACGTCTCCCACAGATTTCCCCTCCTCACCTCGCTGACCCATGAAAGAAGCAATGCCGGTTCTCACAGCTGGAACAGGTAGGAAACCTGGAATATACGCTCAGCTGAGTCTTACAGCTGGTAGCTCCCTGTGTTCCATCTGTTTAGGTTAATATCCATATATCTTTTTTTTTGTGTGTGTGTCCTTCACAGGGCTGCATGAAACACTGGCCCTGCTGACCTCTCAGCTGCGCCCCGATGCCAACCATAAAGAAGACATGGTCTTCCTCAAAGACGTTTTCAGTGAGAGGAGTTTGGGATACCTCATGAAGGTAAAAAAAAAAAAAAAAAAAAAAAAAAAAAATCTATGTTGACATTACTTCTATTGACAAGTATTGTTAGATTAACATCTGCTTCTATTAAATATGACCACATTGTTTTTTTAATGTGAGGTTGTTATAATACTCTAAAATCTGATGTTAACCTTACTTAAAAGAATCTTGGAAATAAATAGAAGTTTTACATTTTGTTTACTTAAAACTTAGTTGTTCAGTGTACTGAAGAGTTTGTTGTAAGAACTTATTTTCGAGAAGTTAATTTAACTTAGTCTAGTGAAGTTGTTCCAATGGAGAAAAGTAACCCATCAACTTCCAGGAAGCCTTCTGTTTCGATGCTCTTCAGATGAATGTATGCCAGTAATCATATAAACTAGGGTCATTTGAAAACAGCTAGTTTCACAAATGTAAGACCCCATAACATTTGATCCTCTAATCTGGATAAAATGATATTTGATGAATCAGTTAACAAGTAGCTCAGTATTTCAGATTGTTCTCAAAACATTTAATAAACCCAATTAATTGTAACAGAAACCTTCCTAGTTGTGTTGTTTGGCCACATCCATGCCAAAAAGTCATCCAATGCTTCACAACTTTTAATTACTCAACTGTTATGCATGGTCTTGACTTAAATAGTTTGAGTTATCAAGCGTTTTTTTATCCAACAGTTGCCAACACATATATAGAATAAGTATAAACAAGTTGATGACAATTGGGTTCTTTTCTCTTTGTCTTTTTTTCAATTGGATATTCTGAATTGTAAGCCCCCAGTAAAAGCTAAAAAATAGCTAATTTTCTTCCAATGATCATATATAAATGTTGGATTGAAATAAAAATCTAAAAGTAAAAACCTCTAAACCTTTTTTCAGTCTTTCATTCTTTTGAATGATTGTTTATCCCCTTTCAGTAACCCTTTTAATTGAACAATAAGTTCCCCCAAACTTATAAAAATTTAGTTTTTCCAAAAGAGACACTTTTAATACCTGTGATGGAAAATGACCTGCAGGCTTCAGAAATGATAGTTATTTCCTCTGATGAGATAAAACCATGAAGCCCTTCGTTCAGCCTCATTTCTTTTGGTGTTTGATGTTCCCATACTCCTGCCAATAGAAAATATTTTTTACAAGGGATTAGGGTTGTCAAAAGTATCGATACTCCAAAAAGTATCGATACTGAAACGTTGTATCCGGATACAATACTCATTTTAAAAAGTATCGATACAGCCATCTAAAGTGCAGAATAGTGAAAAATGCACTTTCTGAACACTGTGTGATTGAATAATTCTGTGCATTTTTCAGTTTCAGACTTTTTTTGTAACAGGTGCAGCTGCTGAGAATTAATTATTGTTTAACTGGTTTGGCCAGTGTCATTGTTATGTCTGCAAAACAAAGCCAAGGAAGGAACACTTTATTTTAATTCTAAGTTTTCTATCAAGCTTGCTTAATATTGTGCACAGCATACAACCTCAAAATATTATTCTTATTGTTTTTTTTATTTATTTCTTTTATTTTTTTTACTAATGAAAATATTTCTGTTGATTTTTAGAGTCTTTGTTTTTATTCTTGTGGTATCGAAAAGGGTATCGAGTATCGAATATTTTACTTAGTATTGGTATCGAGTTGAAAAGTTTAGTATCGTGACAACCCTACAAGGGATCACAAAATAAATCTAAATTTTTTTTCTTTTAGTAACCACTTTTAGAAAAGCTTGAACTGTCCTTTTGGACTTAATAGCTTTCTAAATTTGGAAAAATACTGAGTGTAAAATTAACAACTTTTTATCTAATAACTTCCAGTGAAAGGACACTAGGCTTGATATTTTTACACACCTTATTTGGTAGTAGATATTGTTGAATTTTTTTTTTTCTTGTAGTAATATGATTATTTTAGCCATCTTTCTTTGAATTTTCCTACATGTTTCCTACATGTAACAAACAGCTTCACTGAAATAAGCACTGAAAACAAACTTTTCTCCACAGATACACGAGAAGCTGAGACAGTATGAGAGACAAAGCCCCACACCGGTCCTCCACAGCGCCTCCTCTCTGGCTGAAGATGTAAGTTCATTTCTCACGCTCCATAAATAATTTCCCAACTTTAACACAGCTTCAGAAAAAGCAGTGCAAGTCTTGAAATGAATTTTAATGTTGCCAAAAGTGCTGAATCATCCTGATGCTCCTCTAATGAAGTCTCGCATCCTGCTGCTCTCCTGCTCACATCAGTGGGAGGAAAGTGCTGACTTCTGCTATATGATGTTCCTCTTTCCATGTGTCTGTCTGTGAATCTGTCTGTAATTACTCCACAGTAAGCTGAGTAAACATTACTTGTGTTCACTTGTACTTTGGGAGCCTGTATTTGAGTACTTTGTGTTTTTTTTAGGTGGCAGAAGAGCTACAAACTGGACCAATGAGCACAGAGGAGAAGGAACTGCTGCACCTGCTGATGTCACCACATCTGAAGGTAAACACACATTCAGCAGCTTTCCTTTACCTATGCCAACAACTTTGGAGCCCTTTTTAGAAACTTAATTTGTAATGATCTGAAGCATTCCACTATTTCAAAGGCTCTTTCTCTAAATTTATTTCAGCAGTTAAATATCAGAAGATTGATTTTTGTTGTGTTTTTCAATATCATTAGGCTGTCCTCTCAGTGCATGACACTGTGGCACAGAAGAACTTTGACCCAGTGCTGCCTCCGCTTCCTGACGACTTTGAGGAAGAGCTGGATGAGGAATCTGTGAAGATTGTCAGACTGGTGAAGAACAAGGAACCTCTGGTGAGTTGTAAAATGGTGAGGAACCTACTAGTGAAAGGTTGTGTTCTTCTGTCAGTGATTGTGTTTCTTTATCAGGGAGCAACGATCAGACGAGATGAAATGACAGGAGCAGTGATTGTGGCGCGGATAATGAGAGGAGGAGCTGCAGATCGAAGCGGTATGTCAAACTTCGTAGTCTTCCTTTTAGCTCACAACTATATCAAAGACATTTTATTTCCGTTTTATTTAGTAACATAAGTAGTTTATTGAGCTCCCCAGCAGTTGTTTTTTTTTTTTTTTTTATACTGACATGTTCATTTTTCTTGGTTTGTTTCATAGGCAAAACCTTCGGATAAGTGAATCATGTTTCACATCATTTTAACTTGCCAAAAAAAAAAACCTACTTAGCATCTTTATGTTCTGAGTGTAAAAGGACAGAAACTTAAATGTTTTATGGTTAACTATAAGTTAAATCCTGCTGTTCAAAATTGTAGGTTACCCTGTTTTGAGAACCAGAACAAGACTGCACTAAGTTCAGTAATCTAAGCTGTTATTGATCTACGTTTGTTTTGCTTAGTTTGTCAAATCCTCTCAATGACTGCTTTCTCTCATCTGCTCCCTAAATCCCTTCATTTTCTCTCAGAGTTTTATTGATTTAGGAAAATGTAGCAAGTCTGAACATGAAATAAAAAAGGGTTTATTTGATCAAGAGTTGTGTAATATGCCAGCATCCCTAAAATGACTGTCTAAAAGGATAGATCCCAAATACGGATGATAACAAATGCTTCCATTATAAAGAGAGGGATTTTCCACCATAGCAGCTGTTAAAAGAACAGAAATAAGTGTATTTTCCCTGATATGGACTAGCAACCTGGCCAGGGTGTATCCCCCCCTCAAAGACCCTGACAGTTACGTAATGGATGTATAAAAAATATTTACTTTTCGTATGGGAAAGCTGTCTGAGCTTGGTGAGGTAACAAACTACAGCCTTCAGGCAGAATAACGATCAGAGATGTTCCTGGTCTGCAGAGAGATGCCATTTGCAACAAATGAGATGCAGAAAAACCTTTAGTAAGAGGATGCAAAAAAAATGTATGGGATGAAAAACAAGAGGTTGGTTTCTATAAGAACAGGACGATCAAAGCTGGAAGGGGAGAGATACTGCAGCAGGAGAAAATTGAAGGGATGCTGCAGTTGTAGGTAAAAAAAACAAAACAACAGAGCTCTCTGAATCTGCTTTTGTCGCACAATACACACTCATGTAGATCTTTCTCAAATGTCACCCACATCCGGCTGCATGCAGAGTAAATCAACCAATTAGTTCCATATCCATGAAATTTTAATGTCTTCTTGAATTCTTGCAGCATTAAATCATTAAAAAGGTGTTGCCTGTGTGAAGAAAGGGGTTAAGGATTATTGCCTGGTGAATGCGTACATAATACATGTGTGACTGAATGATATTATCTACTCTAAGCTTCTTTGTCCTGTGGGAATATTGATCTCTCTCAGCTCTGGTTTCATTGTTGAGGCTGCAGCTGAAAAGATCTCATGTGAGGATAGAAAGTATGTCTCTGTGACAACAAGACAGATGTTTAGATATGTCTCAACACTGATCAACCCAAGAGCTCCTCAGGACTTTTTTTGCATTTATAATTTTTTTTTCTTCGAAATAATTTTTTTTTTTTTCTTTTATAGGCTTAGTCCATGTAGGGGATGAACTCAGGGAAGTTAATGGAGTTTCTGTGATCCACAAGAGGCCTGATGAGATCAGTCAGCTGCTGGTATGAACCTCACACCTACTCTGAGGGATTAAAACCAGTCTACTACTGTATGTGGATGCATGGCCCAAAAGAAGTCTCTTCATATTTATTTTCCAAACAGGATAAATTCAGACAGAAATTAACTGTTTTCATTACAAATATTATACAAATATAACTGTGATTGAAGCTTGCTGAAAGATAATTCTTGTAACCTGAAAAGTGAAGTTTTCAAAGCAAATAAGATAAGCCTTTTATTTCTAAACGTCACAATTCAGTTTAGGGACAGAGATTTTAAAAAATGAAAAGTGTTTTTGCAAAGTGAAAATGAGAGCTGACCTGTTAACTAAGATCTTTGTCACACACTTGTAAATGTAAAAAAAAAAAATAAATACATCACACTAGTAGATAATATTTTTACTGTTCTGCTTGCATATTTAAAGCAAAGCGAAGTTTGGTTTTTATGTTTTCTGTATAATGGTGACTAATGCTGCTCTTTTATTTTGAAAATCCATTACAACAACTTTAACTGTGGATTTTACAAGAACAAACATGAGAGCATCATGTTATGGGAATATATATGTATTTTTGTTTTTCTATAGGGTCCAAAAACCTGACCAATAATGTTAAGATAACAGGAGAAGAAAAAAAAAAGTAAGGGTATTGCTGAAACCTTCAAACCTGCACTAGAATTGGAATTAGAAAGCAGTACCATAATATGAAATGACCCAGTCAAAGTCCAGACCTAAATCCAAATTATAATTTGTGGGAAGACTTGAAAATGTGGTGTTTAAAGAGGCTGTTTATAAAAAAATTGGGATCAATATAAGAAGAAGAATGGGTAACGAGTCTCTACATGTACAAAGGTAGAAAAAACAAAGAAAATAACCAAAATCCTGTCCTGCTTCTAGGTCCACAACTCCTTGACTTTTCAGAGACTAGCAAAATTAGATGTTAAAATATCCTACTGTTTTTATTTTAAAACAGTTTTTTCAAGAAATGATAGGTCCTCAAGATTTAAATTGGCCTTAAGTTTTTTCCCTTGTGAACTTTTATCTAAAATAAACCATTTCAAGTATAATGAAACCTCAGGGGTTTTCTGTTGTGATCATGTTGCTGCAGTTGATACACACTGTTTATTTATGATGTAGTCCCAGTCCCAGGGCTCCATCACTCTCAAGATAATCCCAGCCATCAAAGAGGAGGACAGACTGAGGGAGAGCAAGGTAAGGTGAAGCATGGCCAACATTTATGTAAAACAAAAAAATAAATCAAGTAAAGTTTTTATGTTTTGGTTTGTTCTGCAGGTATACGTGAGAGCCTTGTTTGACTACACCCCTCTAGAAGACAAGGCCACACCGTGCCAGGAAGCGGGACTTCCTTTCAAACGGGGAGACATCCTGCAGGTTGTGACGCAGGATGACCCCACATGGTGGCAGGCCAAGCGTGTGGGAGACAGCACCCTGCGGGCCGGACTGATCCCATCCAAACAGTTCCAGGAGAGGTGAGAACATCAGACTTTTAACATTTAGTAGCAGCAGAGACTAAATTATTCACCCAGACATTACTGGTGGATTTTATTCTCCCTTTCTAATCTCTTCAAATCCACATTTGCGTGTTCCACTGACAGAGGTCAGCTGTGATTAGATGGAGCATCAGAGAGTGGGGGGAAAAAATAAGCAAAAATATAACATTGATGCTGTGGGAACATGCTGATACTGTTAGTGTGATAATCCTGCAGTGAGATGATCTCGGCACAGAGATCCCTGCCAAACACTGCAGCCACGGCTGGATTAAAAACCACTGGAAGAGGGAGCAGTAAATATACATATGTGGAGTTTAACATAAATCTGATGGATTAAACAATGAATTTACCGACGGGATGCTCAGACGAGTGAATGCAGGGTTATGGGTTTATAGAGCACATATCTTTATTTGAGCAAAATCTCAACATTTGACAAAAAATAATAGAAGAGATAAATAGTCTGGTGAGAGGATAGGGTAAATGAAGGAGAACAAATTAAAAGAATCAACACAATTGTGTGCAGAATTATATTTTGCATCCACCAATTGGTATGCAAGATTATTAGAAGAGGCAGATTTTTTTTGGTTAACAATTTAAGAATTTTTATATTTTTTTATTTCGGTCTTGCCTTTCTTTGTAACCAATGCTTGCTCAATGCTTGTCAACTTTCTTTGCTTTAAATTTGGCCTTTTTTTAAGTTGATGACAAATTATGTCCCAGTCAACGTCATTACTGAATCTCTTTTCAGTATGTTATTGAAGTTAATTAAATCATCACCATGTATATAGAAGCATTTTAGCAGTTTAGAATTGTTTTTGCTCCGGATGGTACATCTTTTGTTCTGCTTTATGCCGAAGGATGTTGGCTGGAAATATTCAAATTATGTGGAAACTTAGAGCTCAACATTTTTCACATCATAAGGAAAAAACACTGATGAGCTGACAGTGATGTTAGTTTTTTAAAACACAGTATAAAATTGTGTTAATATTTTTAGGATCAATTGAACACATGGTTGAAAATGTGTGGATCGGGGGGCCACACCTTTGGAAAAAGAATAAAGGAAACAGCAGATTTCTTGTACAAAAATCTAAAAATTTATCGCCATTTAAATATTATGAAACATACAAAATTGTTCAATGAATGAAAGGTGAACAATAATAATAAAACATTGATGGTTGTTTTTAAAATGACTCCTAAAAATAAATAACTAAAATGTCACAGTTCATTTTTGTTGTTCAGCTAAAGAGGAAAGTAAAGAAGTGGTACAGAACAAAAATATAATCTCAATTGCAACCAAGGAATGTTTGAGAAATTGATTAAGAGCAAAGAAGATAGGATAAATATATGTACTCGATGAATTGTCAAAATAAATAAAACCAATATCACTATCCACTGTAAAATAAAACAGGGCTGTAGTTGAATTGTGAAAAAGGCTTTTGAGATTTTGGATCATTAAGAAATACAGATTAAATATCATTATCTTCTTAAATTTATTTAATGTAAGGTGACTAGGTAAAAAAAATGTAGGCAAATTAAGTGTGCAGTCAGAGAAATTACATCATAGTAAACGTATCAAAGTCAGTTGAAAAAGAAAAAAAGATTTATTTACTCAGGCATATTCATATCTCTTGTTCTTCTGTATTTCCTTACACAATTATTTTAAAGATAAATGTTTATCTTCCTTCAATAAACTCTTTTTCCTTTTCAAAGAATAAACTGTAAATTTAATGTACACACAGCCAACAAAGAAAGCCCCTTTAAGTCATATCAAACATCAGGTATCAAACAACAGGTTTTCAAACATCCTTTATTAAATATTGTAGGTAGTATGTTGCCACTAAATATCTAAAATAGTAAAAAAAAATAAATCAAGCATTTCTGACCTCAGAGGAGGATTTATAGAAAAAAATATACGATTTAACCTTTTGATCAAGTCTGCTTTTAAAAGATAAAAAAATAAAATAAAAAAAAGGTTCCATACAAGTATAAAAGAAGTAAAGACTTGAGCCCAGTACTATATAAAAACCATAAATATTACATCCAGCTGTCTTCCATTACTAAACCTGGTAATCCTTTGTGTTATAATCTGTCAATGTGTGTTCTGTGTCCTGTTCTTTACAATCCCCTCTTACTTTCTGCTTACTCTCCTCTCTGCCACCGATGATTCTCTGCCTGCCTTTATCCTCTTTGGCTCTATGCTGCACATCCCTCCAGGCGACTGGCCTACAGGATGAAAATGGGCACGCTACCCAATCCCAAATCCCCTAAAAAGCCCGCCTGTAAGTTTCTGCTTCTGAGGATTTCACCTCGTCGTTTACATTTTTACGTAATCACACTTTAGAACCAGCAGCCCCTCCTTTCATCACTAATGTAATCAGTCATTACAGCCCAATAATATATTTGACAGACATTTATTGACCACCTTCGCTATTTATCGACATTCTTCCATCTGTATTCCTGGATCCATTAGCATGCAGCGTTCATTCTATGGTGCAGCCATTTTTTTTTTCAAAGGAAGAGGGAGTATCATAGATATGAATTACTCTCTTTAATGTTTATTACATTTGGCCAAGCCTAAGTTCAGCCTCAGATGATCCAGACAACATAACAGCTGTTCATTGCATTAACAATAACTACACTTCTCACCTGATCCTGTACATTCTGGAGAGGAGGTTTTTGAGGTGCGTTAACTGTACGTCATCCGATTATGCCTGAGCCATGGAGAGATAGGAGCTAAGCAGGATGCAGCTTGCTGCTCTACTTTAGGCAACAGCAGCAGCAGCAGCAGCAAACCTGCAGGGACTTTCAACTCCTCCCTCCCATCTCCTCCTGCTTAGTTTATTCAACCAAATCTTAAAATAAGTGTCTCCCATCTTGTCTCTGACATCATCCTAGCATCTTTAAAGCTCACACAACCTCATCTACATTAGCTGTCATGTATATAAAATCGTTTTTCTTTCTGTCTTTAATCATGTTTTACTCTTCTTTGCTGCATTCTGCTTTAGCTGAAGGATGTGACAAAGGTTGGTATACCTGCACACACATTATCCACAGATCATGAGGCCTTAAATGTTGATGCATGCTTGTGTGGGTGAAAAGCTTTGGGATTTCTGCAGCTTCAGGCATAATTCCCCCTACTGCTGCAGGAGCATCAGGGCAAATTCTTTGTGTTTTAGGTATGTGATGTGTGTTTACCGCAGCAGGTGATGCACAGGAAGAGCAGGACTACTGGAGCTCAACCAGGCAAAAATAGTTATTTTAACTTAAACAAATTTTTTATGTGTGTCCAGATTTATATATATTTTTTCCCTATAGATGGAAATTATTTCTAATTAATGATGAGGACTTTTGTACATAGATTTTATGGGTAAACATGTCTGTGGTACAAAGGGACCCTGTTCAAACCAGGTGGAGGTCATTCTTCCCTCCACCCACCATCTGCCTGTCTGTATCCTGTTGGGCCATGCCTCCCTCTCCACCCCCCCCCAGCCCATCCTGCCTCACCCTCTTTAATTTTTCCAGGTGTCTTACCCAATGCTTACCCCCTCTCTACCCTGCTTGCCTCCCCTACAGAGGACTGTGACTGTGAAGGCTATTTCAATGGGCAGTACATAGGTGAGAGTGTGTTCCTCTTTTTCCATCTTCCTCTTCCTCTCTGCCTTTTGCCTGCTGCAGCCTGGCTGTGTGCTGCTTCCCTCTGGGCTTTGGGTCAGGGGGCAAAGTGGCTTTATTGTTTTCACCTTGAACCGTCTTTAATTAAATCAAGCATGCCCAAAGTCAGTCCTCGGGGGACCGCTGTCCTGCAGGTTTTAGAGGTTTCTTGGCTTCAGCACAGCTGATTTCCCATCAATAGCTTATCAACAGGCATTTGTTGAACTGCAATCATCAGAATCAGCTTTGAAGAAACTGAAAAACATTGAAAACCTGTAAGACAGGGGCCCTCGACAACCGGCTTTGGGCATGCACGTATGAAATTATATATTTTGAATATTATTTGTAAACACAAGTGGACTCTATTTACTAAAACTCAATTCTTTGCCCTGGATTTTATGTAGTGAAAAGCAGAAACTGAAAATAAGGCAACGAGGCTCTTCTCAGATACTAAACTTTCCATCCACTGTAAAAACATGCCGTTATTTTATCAGATATTCAATTGAAATTGTTCCTGCATAAGGTCAGTGAGCTCAACCAATATTCTCATTTTCTAAATACCCAAAAAATTAAACATCCTATCATAATACCAGAGGCTGGTATAGATCATCAAGATTTAATTTCCTATCTGAAAAGTTCAAATGTTGCTTCAGTTGTTTTGAACCCTACTATATTTTCTCATTAAGCCCATTGAATGTGGACAATACTCTCTTATTCTCCATAAAATGTATTGTGTGGAGAATAAATAAAATAAACAAAAATTCTTTTGTAAAAAAGGTACTGAATTCATGCTTTAAAATTATCCCATACATTGCTTAATCTTGATATTGCATTGTAATTTGTAAAACCGTTTTTTTAGTATTCATAGTATTTGGAGTACTTCCCTTTCAAAATAGCATCTAAAGTTGTTAAATATTGTATTATGCATGGGAAGCTATGCCTACAGGATTAAAGGGATATTATTACTGAACAATAATGACTAGGGAAAATAACACATTTAGCAATTAATTTAAAAATGATTTTTGTTTAACAGTGTTAATAGATTCCAAGTGCTTTAACATTGAGACTTTAAAAAATCTGCAATTCCTACTCATCTTTTAATACACAAGATAAAATAAATAAAAAAAAAACTATAAAGAATAAACCCAAAATACTACGGTGTAACACGGGTTGTATCAAATGTGTTCATGCTGATTTAAATACTGTTACCTAAAAACTAAACCATGCAAACATTTGCACAATACTGATTGATTTTACAAATGTGAATTTACAAGAAAACTTTAACAACAACAACACTGTGACCATGAAAATTAACCTTCAAATAACAGCATGGTAACAGTACAAACAATTTAAAAGCAAAAACAGAGGTGATTCACAGATGTAATGAATGTCTTTGGATGCGGCTAGTAGGTTGTTTGATAGCAGACTAAGGTTTGATGGCATTAAGGTGCATTATTTACCATGTGAGACTGAACGTTGCTGTCTCTGGGTTGTATTTGCATGTAGGTGGTGTGATTTTACAGTTGGCATCACATCAATAATGGAGTAGACTAGGCAGCATATAGATGGATTGGCAGAAAGGGCCTTTTTTTAAGGGGGTTAGAAAACATAAAGTATTAGAAAAGTAACTGTGTTTCAAATACAAAGGCTTAGAATAGTAAGTGTAACAGGATATAGTTACTTAGAATTAGTATTTCAAATACATAAAGGTAATGCAAATATTCCATTACTTCCCAATGTGCACCAATGCTTCCTGCAGAATAAAACTTGCACAACACGATGCTGCCACCCCTGTACTTCAAAGTTGGGATGTTGTTTTCAGGCTTGCCAGCTTCTCTTATTTTTCTCCAAGTGTAACAGTGATCATTGTGACCAAACATTACATTTTAGTTTGATCAGACAACAGTAGATGCTGCTCAAATCTAAAACCATATCCCTTGGGAGTATTTGTTGTAATGCAGATTTTCATGTTGCGTTTGGAGAAATGGCTTCCTTGTTGAGAGGCTTTCAGAGCATTGGCACAGAACTATTTTCACTGTGGATAATCACACTGTGGCCAGCTGCAGCTACCATTTTCCGACCCCGTTTTTCCTTTGTGTTGGGATCAATATACAATTTAAAACAAAAACATGTTAATCATTAGATGAGAGAATCTGAGAACGCATATAAAGGCATTTTCTCATGGAATGCATACAATATGCATTGTTTAAAAACTAGAAACACAGTCCCCTCAGGTATGTGTAAAATGTCTTCATAGAATATCTTCAAACTGAAATTATTAGGATCCTTTAACCTCAGATTTTAACAGAAACAAAACAAGGAAACATGGAATGCTTAATTACCCAACAGTTTTGTTTTGATTTTTTTTCAATGAAAAACAGGCTGAATTATAAAAGGGCTTTTTAACTTTGAAAAATGTAGTTTCTGAATCTACATAAATGTGAAATTGCATTTTATGTATTCAAACAGAAAACCAAGCCATAGGTATGTATTATTCAGTTGAAGTCTTAAGTGTTTTTTTGTGGGGTTAATGCATTAGCCTCCCCTGTAGTTTAATCTCCTCACTCCATCTCCCCTGTTAAACTTAAACTGATCGTCATTTGTTCTCCCACCCTGCCCACTGCTCGAATGACCTAGAGTACACAAAGTGATCTAAACACAGCTGAAAACCTGACACTAAATGTTTCCTGTGACATGAAATGCCTCAACAAGCAGCATTTGTGCTTCGTGTCTACCTGCCTGAAGCCGTTAACCCTCCATCATCCCTCCTGCTGTCCTTGCCTCTGAGTGTTTGGATCCTTCTGAACCCCCCCGCCCCCCACACCCCGCTTCTGACTAACTGCCCCTGTTGTTGTTGTCAGTGCGCTGCTCCTCCCCCTACTCATCTTTCCCACCCTTATGAGGGCCCCTCTGCGTTGGACGCATTGCACACTCAACCAGGCACGTTTGTTGCTTGTTCACCCTTATGTGGAGGTGTGAGGCTGGGTTGTGTGATGCTCTAACACCGGTTATAGTCTCTTCTAAGTGTAAAGCAGTGGCGCCCTCCTGTGGCCAGGTGTTTTCCTGGGAATTTTATTCAGGTACAGTGGCCGGCGCAATCCTGCAGGTACTTGACTGACAGGGGGGGATCCAGACTGTTCTGACCATGGGAGACTGATTAGTCCCAGTCTTTTAAAGCCATGTCTCCCAAGGCCAGGCTTTCCTGAGTGTCCCACCTCAGCACTGTAACCTCTCGTAAAGAAGCATGTCCCAAACATAATGAAAGATGTAAACATCATCAATGAAATCTCATTTTTACAAGAAACCAAAACTTGGCGGGTTTTTTTAGTTGCATGTAATACATTTCTCTGAAGCATGAAATGTATATATTCTTATTGCCATTCTTACTTCCAATGAGATCCATGTGCGCCTATACAAATGTTATAATGCATGATGCTTGGATTCTTCACTTGTAACATAAAAAGCTGTGTGTTTTGTACTCTCCACCTTTTTAATGTTTCTCTGTATCCATGGCCTCCCTGCAGCTGGTTTACGGAGGAGCTTCCGGTTAAGTCGTAAGGACCGGCAGGGATCATCTGGAGAGTGCTCTGAGCTTGGGGAGACAGATTTTCTTACCTATGAGGAGGTGACCAGCTACCAGCAGAGGCCCAATGAGAGGCCGCGTCTGGTGGTTTTGATCGGTAAGACTGAGCCACTAAACTCAGAGGCAATCTCCAATAAAACTGAAATACCACAGCTATGTTATGTCTTTCACTAAGGTTCTCTTGGAGCCCGAATCAATGAACTGAAGCAGCGGGTGATAGCCGAAAACCCCCATCGATATGCTGTAGCAGTTCCACGTAAGTTCCCATTTTATCCCCTAAGCCTCATAGAATCAAATAGTGGTAACCACACTAGATTTATCTCTTTATCACACAGATACAACCAGACCTAAGAAACCTCATGAGAAGGATGGTGTGGAGTATCACTTTGTCACCAAACAGCACTTTGACGCTGATGCTTTAAATAACAAGTAGGTTTCATTTAAGTAAATGTTCCTAGCAGTTGATAACTTCCTTGGCAACTTCATGTGCTTCTAGTATAAATCCTGATTAGGGTTAAAAGTAGTGCCTAATCTAAGAAGGGCCAAGCTCAAACCCAACAGCTACAGTGTGAAAAGTCTCATGGCTGTTAATGTAAATGCTCTTTTATGAACCTTTAAACTGGTTATAATATATTGAGGAACCCTTGTTCTGCCAGTTTAACCTTATCCTGCTTCTAAATGTGCTTGATTGTTTGTAGCTCCACCATGAGCCAACTACTTTATTATAAAATTGTAAAAAAGAAAAAAAAATAGAACAAAAGTCAGGAAAGAATGGAATGAGTCAGAGCATTTATTTATTCATACTAAAAGGTTCTCTTTTTGGAAAGGACAGATGCACTCATTGCTCTTTTTAGATAACCCTTGATATTCTGTATTTTGGTTACGACAGAGTTAAAAAAATATCTACACTTTAATAAAACCCCTATTCTGTCCAAGCAGTGTTACATTAGCTGACAATAGTTTAAATCCTCTAAAATAAAACCTCTGGGTGTCATTTTTGCTACACCTATGGCCTTTATGGCAGACTGAGATAAAAGTGTACGATGCTGCAGTTCTCTCTGTGCCTCTTAGCTTTATCTCCTGCTCATAAACAATATTAGGCTGCAAAAAGTCTTAGTTTATGAGGTCTGATGGTTAAAGCATAACCCTGAAGTTTAAATGATGTTTAATGTTAAGTTGAAGGCGTTATAGTCAACTTTAAAGCGAAGGGGAGGTGAACATTGTAGATGAATAAAACCTTTAAAACTGTATAAGTAACAGATACAATTTATCCTCTTTGCTTGGACACACAAAGTAACACAGCAACCTACTTTGATTTAAAATAAAGTTTTGTAACTTTTCTGCAAAATAGTTTGCTTCTGAAAGCTCATTAAATGAGCTGTGCTCATGTAGGAACTGAGGTTCACTTTTAATCCAGTAGGCTTTAATGTGTTATTAGCAATGTTGCTGGCCAATTATTTACATGTAAAATGGAATTGTGTCAAGAATTATCCTCCTGTATATGTTTTGGATGTTTCCTTGGTTCACAGTCGGTTCTGCATGGAGAGAAGGTAACGGACATGTTTGAGACCCGCAGGACAGTGGTCTTTGAGCACAGATGGTCGTTTCCTGTCAGTCTAGAAGTAATGTTGGAAGCCATCATGAAAAATTATTATTAGTTATTTTCTTGGGAGTTAGGCCTTTTCTCACAACTGTCATCAGTGTATTTTTCCTCTCCCTGACAAATAGAAACCATTCTTCTGTATGAGATAATTTCCACCGGCTTTGTTGTATTTTGGCATCAGAAATAATGATTACCTGTTATGAATGATTATTGAATGAATACTGTAGGTCCAAATTAAGTCACAAAATGCCCAACCTGTTAAAGAATTTTATCCTAATGTTAACTTCATTAACCATATTCATAGCATTAATATTTTGAACTGGAAGATCGTTTGTTGAGCATAATTTCCTTTCTCTGTTAATTTCCCCCGTATGTATGTTCATTAGAGCTTTGGCATAAACTGTTATACTTCCAGGTCTTGAGTTGCTTTTAGGCCAGATGAAAAGCATTTAGTCTTGGGCTAGCAGTTACCCTCAGTCTCCAGCTATTCTGGATGTCAAGGGAAGAAGCAAAAATAATTTTCTACTCCAGGTTAGATGTTAATTGCTTACAACCTTTAAAGTAGAACCTGCCTTCTTAAAGTCTGAATTATATCTTTCAAACCTGTTATTTCTGTTATTAATCTGTTATTTTTCCCCTACAGATTTATAGAGCATGGGGAGTACAAGGAGAACCAGTATGGCACCAGCATAGAGGCCATCCGCTCTGTACAAGCCAAGAATAAGATGTGTATAGTTGATGTGCAGCCTGAGGTGAGAATGATGTTAGAATGAATATCAAAATAATCTGTCATAACGTGTCAAAATGAGCTACGGGCTACAGGTTTTCCCAGGGTGCAAGCAGTCTTGTCACATGTCTTTAGCAAACAGTTTCTGACACATCCCTGTTGACTTTGCCGATTCGTGCCTCCTTCCTGACCTTTATATGTAAATCTATTTTTGCTGCAGGCTCTGAAGAGACTACGAACTGCAGAGTTCAAGCCATATGTTATATTTGTCAAACCTCGAATTCCTGAAAGCCGACTTCGCCGCAGTGCAGCCACCTCACCAGGAGGGGGAGAACACGGCCGTCTTACAGTGAGTACTGTATCAAGATCTTTCCTTTGGACTTAATGGCAAACATGCCCTTAGTGGAATTGATTTTTCTCTACAGTATTTTTGAACTTATGGTTCAAAGAAACTCCCTTTAGTCCAACTAAATCAGTGCTCAGCAGAGCTCTCAGATCTGCATGTTTAGCAGGTTGTCCTGCTGCTTGGAGTCGAATTTAAATGAATAGGTCATACTCTGGTTTTTACAGACCTTGGTAGTACCCTGAGGGGCAATATAAAGTACAGCATTACAACGGCATCAAGTAGAGTAACAGCAAAACAAGACTGAAAAGGAAAGCAGCCATCAGGAGTAGAATGAAATCTGGCAGCAGAGAAAGAAAGTTTACAGGTTAATAAGGTTCTCCTCCCTTGAGTCCTGTTGGCAGAGCAGTGGGACCTAGGACTGGACAATAACCAGTAAAGTAACCATTTAAAGAGGGTGTGCTGTAGCAGGGAGAGACTTAAAGGAGAAATGAAACATTCAACCAAACTAAATTCACAAGATTGTGTCTTATTATGATCAATAACTGTAGTAGAAATGTAAAAAAATATAAAAGCAAAAGAAAAATCCAAGCTTTGTTTTATAATTTTTTTGGTAAGAGAGCCCCCATATTGCATGCAGTACCTCAAACTGTGATGTCACAGGGTTGGTCAGCACTAGCTGGAGCAACTGTATACATTGGTTCTTTTTCTAACTTCGCTCGGTGTTTCACTATGGGAATCGCCTTGGCGTGACCAACTACGGAAGCTCCAATGACATCACGTCTGTCTGAGACAGACAGGTTGAGCCGTGTCCGTGGCTCCACCCACCAGCTAGATCACGGCCAACCTACCCGCCTCAACTCATTCTCGCTTTCTTCCCGTGTGAAGACTACAACTAAGCTCCCTCAGCGCGCTCAGGTTAGCTTGGACCTGTTTAACTGTTCTCAGGCGTTCCGTAAAGGAAAACGTCGCTGAACGCAGGACCAGGACAGGCCTGTACCGTGCTGAGTAAGCGCTTCGGCAGAAGCACTTTCTGGAACACAAACGCAGGGAGCGGTGACCGCGTAAAGGCGAGCTGTCCCTGTATCTACTCAGTTTTAATTAACGGAATAGAGAGCGCTTGTGTCAGCCGAGCTAACACGTAAAGGTGGGCTTGGTTTTTGGCTAGCAGTGTATCGCTAGCATAAGAGTCCGGTTAACGTGTTGTGGCGAACGGTCTTTATATCAGTAAAGAGCTAACGTGTAGCGACGAGCTCCGTGTTTAACCACAGTCATGTCTGCGGCTCCTACCCCTGCCAAAGGTTCGGAACCGAAGGCTAAAGAGGTTGTATCCCGCCCGTGTCCAGCGTCATGCGGGGCATCTATCTCTGGGCGGGACCCTCATCCGATGTGTATAGCATGTATGGGCGCTAAGCACGCTCAGGCATCGCTGGCGGACCCTCAGGGATGCCAGCACTGCGCGTCGATGCCGGAAAGGATCCTGGAGAGGCGGCTTAGGGTGGCTGTCGCTAACAGCCAGGACCCTTGCTTCTCCTCACCTGCAGCCGTTGCGGCGGCGGGTGAAAACCATCCGCCGCTAGCCTCTAAGAGCTGGGCGGACGTGATGGAAGAGGAGTACCCGTCCATGCCTCCTCTGTTTGAGGGCCTTATGGACAGTGGGAAACTCGAGGCAGACATCGACGAAACGGAGGGTGACGCTAACTCCGACCTCCTGGAACTGGAGGACATGGAGGAGGAGGAGGAGGACTCGACCTTCCCGGGTCATCACTCCAGGCCTCCAAGCGGGGCAGAAGTCACCTCCCCGGGGGATAGTGATCTGTACGATGTGTGCAGACGGGCGGCTTTAAAGCTGAACATCCCCTGGCCTGCAGCGCAGGATTCAGAAGGAGCAGAACGGGACCTGTACGACGGTAAAAGGCTTCCACCAGCTTTACCACCAGCAAAGCAACTTTTACCAGCCGTTCCCGCTTGCATGAGAGAAATGAGCCGTTTCTGGTCCAGCCCATTTAAGAGTAAGCTTCCCACCAAGGGCTTCTCTAAGCTGGAGATACAGGGCATGGGTGAGCTGGGGCTGGCCGAACCCCCAGCTGTAGAGCCTTCAGTGGCTTACCCCCTCCACCCTAACCGCAGATCGGTTTCAGCATCCTCAAACATCTCGCTCCCAGGTAAAATGGACCGCCTCACAGCCTCCATTTACCAAAGGATGTACAGATATGCGGGTCAGTCAGTGTGCTCACTTAACGCGGTTACACTGCTGTCTGCGTACCAAGGTGAAATCTTGGAGGAGATGGGGCGTCAACTGGACTCGGGGACACCTAACCCCAGTCTATGGGATGAGATCTGTGTGGTGAACGATCTCATCTTACGCTCCTCTAGAGGTGCTGTTCAAGGTTGTGGTCGGGTCATGGGTCTGGCTGTCTCAGGGGAAAGAGGCCTATGGTTAAACCTGTCAGGCCTGAGTGACTCCCAGAAGGCCGAGATCATGGATGCGCCCTATGACCCGACAAAAGGTCTATTTGGCCCCTCCTTGGAGAAGATGAGGGAGACGAGTAACCTCAGAAAACAGGAGGGAGAGGCTTTTAACCTTTGTTTGCCTCGTAAGCCCAGCCAAACCCCCCCACAGGGACCCAGACCTGGGTTTGCGGCTGCTGCAGTGAGAGTACGGCAAGGTGGAGCCAAGCCTTCAAGGAGACCTGCCACACAATCCACCCAGCAAAGCAAAGCGGAGAACCCAAGACCATGGGGGAAGCACTCTTTTGCAGCGGCCGCTGCAAAAAATCGTCCATCCCACCCTGGGGAGAGCAAGAAAAAGCGGGCAACCTAACCCCACTGTTAACCATCTCCCCTCTGAAGAGAAGGTTTCCAGGCACCAGGGCAAACTTCTCTGTCCAGGATTCAGATGCTCCTGTAGTTCCCAGTTCACCAGGAGGCTTGTTAAATTCTCCCTCTCACGTTCAGAGAGAAGACATTTTGGGGTGGAGGACACAGTGTCACAAAACACTCCACAGCACGTTATCAGTGTCACCAAGCACTCAGCTGTGCCCCATGTTACAAAGTGTTGTTCAGGGGGAATTAGAGAAAATAAATACAGCTTTTCTGCAGCCAGGCATGTTGCCAAGGGCAGAAAGCCCCCCACAAAAAAGAAAAAAATTAACACAAATGGCTCTCTGCCACTCCCCTCTGCGCCCAGCAGAGGGAGCTCGCGCTCTTTACAACAGAGCCGAGCGCAGCAGTGCAGAGGGGATGACGTCACTCAGCAGCGACGCTTCTCCTCTCTCTGCTCGGGCAGATCAGTGGCGCGCATGCGCTGTCTCTCCATGGGTTTTGCATACAATCTCCAAGGGTTACAGACTGCAGTTTGCCACGAGACCTCCGAGATTCAACGGAGTGCTCTCCTCGGTTGCCACCGGGGATTCAGCTCACGTCCTGAAAGACGAAATAGCATCCCTGTTAGAGAAAAAAGCGATCAGAGTTGTACCGGACGAGGAGGTTCGTCAGGGCTTCTACTCGCGCTATTTTCTCATTCCAAAGAAAGACGGCGTATCACTACGCCCCATTCTGGATCTGCGTGTGTTAAACAGACACTTACGCAGATATACATTCAGGATGCTCACACACAAAGCACTGTGCCGTTCCATCCGTCCGGGGGATTGGTTTGTAACCATCGACCTCGCGGACGCCTATTTTCACATCTCCATTTACCCCCCACACAGAAAGTTTCTCAGGTTCGCTTATCAGAGCGCAGCCTACGAGTTTCAGACCATCCCGTTCGGGCTGTCATTAGCCCAGAGGGTGTTCAGCAAGTGGGTGGAGGCGGCGCTGTCCCCTCTGAGGACGCGCGGGATCAGAATATTTTCGTACATAGACGATTATCTAATCTGCTCTCGGTCAAGCGAGCAGGCAGTCAGCGACTCCCTTGCAGTGATCAACCACCTCATCAACCTCGGGTTCAGGATAAATCAAGCCAAAAGTCGCCTGACTCCCGTGCAATGCACGGAGTATTTGGGTCTCAAAATAAACTCCCTCTCTTATCGTGTCACACTATCAGAGGGGAGAATCCTGTCATTCACCCAGTGCATGACGCGTTTTCAGTTGGGAAACGTCGTTACATTCAGACTGTGCCTGCGGCTCCTCGGTCTTATGGCATCCGTGATTTCAGTGGTCCATCTGGGGCTTCTGATGATGAGGGACTTTCAGCGGTGGGTCGCCTCGCTGCGACTCTGTCCCCGCCGTCATCTGTGCCGCAGAGTAAAAGTGACACAGACATGCGTGGCGGCTCTTCAGCCCTGGAGAGACCCGACGGTTCTCACGTCGGGCGTCCCGCTGGGGACCGTAGCATCCAGGGTTACCATGACAACCGATGCTTCCCTGACAGGTTGGGGCGCAACTATGATGGGCAGAGCGGTGAATGGCATATGGTCGCCGAGAATGAGGCGGCTTCACATCAACATGCTGGAACTGCACGCAGTGTTCCTAGCTCTGAAGCACTTCATGCCATATGTGATGGGTCGCCACGTCTTGGTAAAGACCGACAACTCCACTGTGGTGGCTTATATCAACCGTCAGGGCGGCACCAGGTCCCTGCAGTTACACAGACTGGCCAGGGACATAATTATGTGGAGCAGCACCAGAGTTCTGTCGCTCAGAGCAACGCACGTAGCGGGAATTCTGAACAGAGGGGCCGATCTTTTATCCAGAGGGAACCCTCTCTATGGGGAATGGAAGCTGCATCCACAGGTAGTGGAGCAGATCTGGCAGAGATACGGACGGGCTGCCGTAGATCTCTTCGCCTCATGGGAAAACACTCATTGCCCGCTGTTTTTCTCCCTGTCAGACCCAGACGCTCCACTGGGTATGGACGCGCTGGCGCACCCATGGCCAGACGCGTTGCTTTATGCTTTCCCTCCTCTCAGCCTGATATCCCCAACTCTAGTCAGAGTGAGGGAACAGGGGCTGTCTTTGATTCTGGTGGCTCCCTGGTGGCCATCGAAGCCCTGGGTGGCAGAGATAATCCAAGTCCTGTCAGCCGAACCATGGCCCCTCCCCGTTCGAAGGGACCTGCTGTCTCAGGCTCAAGGGGAGATTTATCATCCACACCCAGATCACCTGGCTCTCTGGGCCTGGCCCGTGAAAGGTGGAATTTAAATGCAACAGGCCTCCCCCCAGAGGTGATCGACACCATACAGAATGCTAGGGCTTCTTCTACTCGCTATCTTTACAGTGGTAAATGGCGAGTGTTTGAGGAATGGTGTGAGGAAAAACAGACCGTTCCTTTTCAGTGTTCAGTGGGGGACGTGCTCTGCTTTCTGCAGAGCTTGTTGGAGAAGGGTAAGGCTTTTTCAACAATTAAGGTTTATTTAGCCGCAATCTCTGCTTGTCATGTAGGGTTTGGTGATAAACCTGTGGGGAAGCACCCCTTAGTGTGTCGTTTTATGAGAGGGGCCCGACGTAAGTTACCAGTTTCTAAGCCTCTGGTGCCATTATGGGATCTCTCTCTGGTGTTGGATGCCCTCTGTCATCACCCATTTGAACCTTTGGAGGGTGTTGGCTTAAAGTTCCTTTCATTGAAAACTGCCCTGCTCTTAGCGTTGGCTACGGCTAAGAGGGTGAGTGAGTTGCATGCACTTTCAGTTAGTCCGGCCTGTTTACAGTGGGCACCCGGGCTCTCTAAGGTGTGCTTGAGACCCAACCCGGCTTTTGTGCCGAAGGTGTTGGATTCAGCATATAGGTGTTCGATGGTGGAATTGCTGGCATTCCATCCACCCCCTTTCTCTTCAGCAGATGAGCAGAAGCTTCATTGCTTATGTCCAGTGAGAGCTTTAAGAGCTTATGTGGACAGGACAGCCTGTTTTAGAAGAGCTGACCCTCTGTTTGTATCCTGGGCTACTGCTCATAAGGGCAAACCTGTCTCCCGCCAAAGATTAGCACACTGGGTTGTGGAGGCTATATCTCTGGCATATAGGTGCGCAGGATCAGAGCCCCCTAAAGGGGTGAGGGCCCATTCTACCAGAAGCATGGCCACCTCTTGGGCTTTGTTCCGTGGTGTGTCAGTTCAGGACATCTGTGCTGCAGCCAGTTGGGCTACGCCGCACACATTTGTGAGGTTTTACAGGCTGGATGTGGCCCGGCCATCGCTAGCACACTCAGTGCTTGGAGTAGGGATGTTAGGGTCCAACTGAGACCTGGGTTGTGATTCCTATCATATATGGCTTCGGGATCATCATGCAATCCGGGAGTGGGCCATATCTCCCATAGTGAAACACCGAGCGAAGTTAGAAAAAGAACGTTGGGTTACTTAACGTAATCCCTGGTTCTTTGATAACAGAGTGAGGTGTTTCACCAACACATCCCTTCTTGCATGGGCACGGAAAGAAACCTGCCTAGAATGAGTTGAGGCGGGTAGGTTGGCCGTGATCTAGCTGGTGGGTGGAGCCACGGACACGGCTCAACCTGTCTGTCTCAGACAGACGTGATGTCATTGGAGCTTCCGTAGTTGGTCACGCCAAGGCGATTCCCATAGTGAAACACCTCACTCTGTTATCAAAGAACCAGGGATTACGTTAAGTAACCCAACGATATAGTTTGGTTGAATCTTTCATTTCCCCTTTCAACAAAGTAGATGCAAAATGTTGGCTTTGTTTTCATCTAGTACACTAGTCATGTTAAGGGTTCTAACAACTTTTGCTGAAAAAAAGGCATTCTCCTGATTAAGTCTCCTGCAAGGAATTGCTAAAAATAACACATTAGCACAGAAGAAGAGTAAATCAAACATTTCTGCACTCATTGCAGTTCTTTTCCTGTATCTGGGTAGATCAGTTTCCTCTGAAACACACCAGAACGCTTCATTAGCTGGCCAAATAACATGCCGGTGGAGCGATAATTCTTCTTATGAGGGAAACGAGTCAGCCACCAGTGTTTTAAACATGTTATGATGATCTGGGGGCCTAACTTGAATTAACAAACCATATCATGGGTTATAGGAATAAGGTGGATACGCTGATGTAAACAGGTTTTGATGAAAATGGAAACAGATCTCTGCTTTATTTGAAATTTTCACATTTGATATTATGAAAGCATTACATCTGACTCACCAAAGATGAGTCTTAGCAGGTAAAAAAAAAAAAAAAACACAGCTAAATAAAGTATAAAGCTATAAAATCCTTTGTCTTTGATTCTTTTCCTCAATAGATGCCAATCTTTATTTGCATCTCATATCTAAAGGATGAATTCCCTCATGAACTGTAACTCAGCTGAGCCACTTATGTGATGTAGAAGAGATGCATCTAAAAGTTGCAAGATGGTAGCTTCAAAGAAAGTCTTGCACACCACCATTTTAGGTTATGTCCCTATTTGTTTAAGATAAATAAAATGCAAAGAAATAAATATGAAAAATATTCCATTAAAGTCCTTCAAGAATATTTTAGAATCTCATAAGCTACAAATTTACAGTAAAACTATTTTTTTTCTTACCCAATAGGATGAAGATATCCAGGAAATGCGTCAGTCTGCCATTCAGATAGATCAACAGTATGGACACATGGTGGACCGTGTCCTGATCAAGGAGGACTCAGCCAGCGCTTGTGCTGAACTGCAAGGCATTTTGGAAAGATTGGAGCGTGATTCCTTCTGGGTGCCTCTCAGCTGGGTGCGGACCTAAGTCTAATACCCGTAAGACCATCTGAGGAATCTCATTCAACTCTTGAACTGGTCTTCAGAGCCAAAACCCCTCCACCCTAAGGCTGCTGGCCAACCCAGAGAGTCTGCTGAACTGCAGCACCACAGAAAGATGAAGTCAAGGAAATACCTCAGTTTTGCGGCAGGCTTAACATTTGATTGCCTAAGTTCCCAAAGTAATACATTTGGCATGTTATGCACTTTTAATTTGATGTAATTACTGGCAATCTTAATGTGTATATTCACAAGCGTTAACACCAAAATAAGGGTTTGAACCTAACTGAATCACAGACCAAAAAAAAACAACAGAAATAGTAATTCAAGTTTTCCTAAAGACAAAGGAGTCAAATTAGGTTATTTTTTTTTTTTTTTAAATCTGCTTCTATTGACCTTCTAAAGTTTACAGCTTAATTCATTTAACATTAATAGGTTCTAAATTGCATCTGGCTCCAGGTAATCTTTTCAGGAAATGGAAATATTTGAATTTTAGACCTGGGCTATACTGTATCTCAAGCATATTATTCCTCAATCTGTTGCACACTACAGCAAAGTGTCAGCTTTTAGTAGCATGACTTTTTTTTCTACTGTCTTACAAAACAGCAGCTGCTGTAGGCTTCCAGTTTATTCCTGCTGCTCATGCATCCTGTACAGAAAGACATTAACGGACAGTTAGCTCCTTAAGTTACAAATTAAGGAAATGTCCGAATGGAATGCAAGAATGTTTTCCACTAAACTTGTTTTAGAAAATGCATGACAACAGATTATTTACTGATGTAAAAACTGTAAATGTTACTCCTGGTGTGCCAACGAAAGATGTCGTAGCACTTCAATGCAACCTGTTTACCTTTGTCAGTTTGACTGTAAAGCATTGTGCACATGTTTGCAGTGTGTGTTAACACATTACATTGTCCCTTTTGCAAATAGGAATGGAGTTTTGTACAGTTTCTTGAACATATCTGTATTTTTGGCTGAAGATCAGATGTTTGAACTGAAGAACTTTTTATGCACAACATAGATGGAGGATTTTTTTGTATGTCAAATAAAAGACATTGAGGAGAGGAATGTTTGTAGCAACTAAGAACCTTACTTTGGCATGCCAGTACTATATAAGAACTTGAAAAATCTGAGTCTACAGAGACAAATCTGATCAGGAATAAAGTCATTTTGTGTTGAATGTGAGCATCAAACACTTTCAAATCATCTTCAGTAATTGTTTTTCTCACATGCAATGTTTGAGCTGTGTGAACTCGATCAAGAATGTTGACTTTGTAACCATCATGTACAAAGTGCCATAATAAAAGGAGGCTGATTCAAACTTTAATTTAGTTATTGCTTCCTTAAATTTAACATGAGGATGTGTAATGTGTGCTTTTACCTTGGCACCAATTATAGACTCCAGTGAAGTGAAGTGCATCCAAAACGTTGCCAGATTGTCCTTGGCTCTGTTTTTTAGAGCTCCCAGACCGTCACTTATCTCTTCTGAGTTTTCTAGTTGCTTGGCCCTAAGGAGGGATTATTGTCAGAGTGAGCAACAGAAAATATGCTAACACCTTTAAATGCTCTCTACAAAAGGCATACCTCTGCTTTTTTTCTTTTGAAATGAGGAAGAGAAGGGCCTTTTTACCTTGTAACTATTCCTGATAGTGTAATTTATATAATTATAAACAAACCTTCCTCTATGCTGAAAAAAAAATGTCCTTTTAGCCCAATGGTAAACCTTTTTCAGTGTTTCTGCAAATCTGGCAGTATAAAGTAATTTACAGGTGGAGTACTTTTGTGAAATCTAATGAAAATGTTAAACTTTGAAGAAGAAGAATTTGTAGATTGTAACTGATCTATATTTTATTTCCCCAGATGATTTTTGTCCAGAGTTTTTGCAATTAAAAAGAATAAATCTGAATATCTAGCTGTACTTGGCTAAATGAGACTGGGCATAATATGAATTAACTCTGCATCATGTCTTTAGGGATAAAGCACATATGCCTTAAAAATAAACCTAATTGTAGAAACCCAAACCAATAATATAGAGCTAATAAAATAACTGTTAAGTGCTTCACTGTTGATTTAAAAAAATATTTTGAGTCCAGATTTCATTATGAAAGCTATGACAATAACTACTATTCAGTCCTTTTACACTTCAAAAGACAGACTTAAGTTTTAAAGATGATGGAGTAATTCCCTGTTCCATAAAATAAGAGTTTGGCTTCTAATACTTAAACGATGAGTTATATGCAGATTTCCTTCTACAAGGAGCCTGGAACTCCTGAGACTGCAGTAGGAAGATTCAATTAAACTGAGTAACAACTTTTATAATTACCAAAGCTGCTGTGCTTATAAAATTAGTTTCTATCATATCTAAAAGTGTGATTAGGCGTAGAAATCACTCATGTTTCTTCCAAGCTTGCTAATGTTTATGAAGGCCGGCTACAAATTACATATAGCACATAATACCTCTGCCCTGGAGCCGGTCATCTGTAAAATGTCTACATTTATAATTGAATCAGAAAGAAAAAAAACTAAATTATTTCCAACATTTTACATACATCAAACTAATCATCTGTTCAGGCAGATTAAAAACTAAATTAATTTAGTGGTGTTTTAGACATAAGTATTGGAAATGAAGGAATAAAAGGAGTAATCAAATCTTATAGAACTGGCCTAAATTAAATTTGGATGATTGATTGATATAGAGTCATTTAGGAGGCTGGCTATTACTAGGAAAGATTCCCACTATTTTACACTTAATCCACTGGAAAAAAAAAAAAAACAGAAATCTAAGTAATTTTTGCTTGAATTTACTTATTTCAAATGCATAAAATCTAATTATCTTATTTACCTACTCATATTAAGGGTAAATACACTTTTCGTTTTTACTATGTTCATTATAATGGCTCACACTGTAATTCACTGGAGAACGTTCTGTCCATTTGTTATTGAATTTCTCTAAATTTGGGAATTATGCGTTGCTTTTTGAAATTGTTTATCCTACTTCATGTTGTAAAAATATTTCTACTTCTATGAGCTTTTGAGTGAACAGGTAATAAGTGGAGGATGTGGTTAGTGAAACTAAAAACATTCCACATGGTTTTTTTTTTTTTAAAGTTCAACAAAGAAGCAATCATATTTTCACACAGATCTTACTTTTTTGGATAGCGTTTTAACCTCTATTGAAATCCCCATCTAAAAATACTTGATCATCCCTGATCGTTAAGAAAAAACAGCTTATGATCTGTGTACAATAGTTGCTCGGGTTAATTCTTAGTCATGCGGTTCATTACAACCAAAATACAGGCAACGCAACTTTGCATGCATAACATTTATGGTTGGTTTTAAATAAAATAAATCCAAATAAAGCATTTATAGGGACAAAATTTAAATATGATTTCGACATGTTTACATGCATCAAAGACAATCTGAAATAGAAATAGTTTGACAGAATTAATCTTTGCAAGCAATACCCCTCAAAATGGGTCCTGTATTCAGTTCAATTGAACTCTGCCCCCTGAGATGGCTGTTAAAATGCTCCATAATCAATATAAATACAACACATAAAGATGCTGTGGCTGAAAAAAGTTTGGCCAATCATCATATTGAGCCTGACAGTTCAAGAAAGCAATGTCATGTCATGTTCATGCCAAAGTAGGCAAGCAAATATTTTTGGCAATATTAAGTATGACTCTTGTAGCTGACTTAAGATTAAGGTTCTTGTTATCTTCATAGGAAAATTTACATTCATTTAATCTCTACACTATATATTACCATGTTTTTCATGAAGAGAATTTATTTTCAAACAATGTAACACTTTTTGAAGTATCCTAGAAACTTTTAAAACCTTGGTATGGTTTTATAAGATTATGCCTAGTGGTCTATACCTTCAGAAGGTTTGTGTGTCTTAAAAACAGGTGAAAGCCTGTTTCTACACACAGAATAGATCTTCAAAGAAGGTGAAAAGTAATTTGTTTGCTATTTAACAGAAGGCATGTGCAAGCATTTTTTTTGCACGTTTGCCTTCAGCACTTTGCAGATCATATTCTACTGACAGAACCGCGCACATTCATAGGTGGAGGATATATAAATGTAAACATTTTACGGACGCAAAGTGATTTTCAAAATGGAAAAAGCAACTGCAGCTACAGTTTTTTCTTCATCTTTTGTATCTCTGAAAGTCAATTGCTGCTTTTGAAAAAAATCAATGTTCCCTGGTCTTTGTTACATAGGCCAATCACATGAGAAATATTACTATACTATGAAGCCTGAACTGCCATGATTCCCAGTGAACTGTGGTTTCAATCCCATTGTTGGTGATGGTCTAACAGGCTATCAAACCAGGAGCAGAGCATCGGCTGCATCTATACCATTTTTTTCCATTTTCTTTCACGTCTTCCTGGATGAGTTTCTCATTCAATGAATTCAACACCATTTTAGGTAAGCATGAATCATTTCTGAACTTTTTTATATGAAATTTTCCCTCTCACTACTTTTAATCAAAGTAAGCTGTAGTTTTTTTAGTCTCTGAAATGACCAATTTTACTCCCAGACAAATGCATGTACAGCATTTGGAGCCTTCATCTTTACATAAAGGTCACCCCTTTGACACCTAATTCTACAGAAGGAATAGCCTCACTGATTAAACCTTACATGGCTATATTTTGGAACGGAATAAAAAAGGGTTTTAGCCGAAGTCATAAACAGCCTGTTGGTGTTACTGAGCCACTTTCACCACAAGTAGATATGTTTATTATTTTTGAAACTGTAAATGATCTTATCAGTAATATTGGCATGTTATTTAAAAAAGACAACTACATGTCATTTCCATGTCATGATGCGCATGTCAAAATTCTTTTAGAGATGTTCAATATGGAAAGATTAAATGCACAAATGGAGATTGAATTATGCATGTTACAGGAAATTCAAGATATTTTAAAGATAATTATGTATAATTAATTACTTAGATTACTTTTAGACACCATGAACACCAAGACAGATTATGTGAGATTAGACAATAGATAGCCCATTAAAAGCAGAGACGTAGTTTAAATTGCAATGCCTACTTCTGCAAAGCATATAAAGACTAAATGTTGTTATAAGTCAATAAAATGTTATCTTAAACACAAAGACATTGTTTTTTTCTTACGTAAATATTTAGCGTTGCATGGTGCAGCGTTAGGCCCCAGTGACATCAAACATGGTGTACATTCCCTGTAAAAGAAAAAACAAAAATCAAATCTTATGTTTAAAATGAATATTTTCAGTTTAAGTTTTACTAAAACATTTCAAATCAAATAACTAAATCTAACTATGGATCTTTTCTAACCTGAGAATGTTTAAAACAAATAGATTTACAAAGTTAACAAAAGAGCTTTAAAGTAGCAAATACAATAAATCTTCATATATAATATAGATGGTCCAGAGTGATACTTTGAAATTACTTAAACCTCACATTGATAATCCCTTAGATTATGATCTAATCTGAAGAAATTATGAAATGTCTGTTTTTGGAACAACAGAATTTCTAAACGAAGCTGAATGTAATTTTTGTCTGCCTCAGCTGAAAAACAAGAAATAACAATCTCACTTCGGCTGTGAAGATACAAGAAGGCCTTCAGACAAATAGATTATTTATGGGCCTGTGTAAGGTCTCCCTACAAATAAAAATCTCTAAAGGCAAATTCTTTGAATAACAAAGTTATAAAAACATTATTTTCTTCTTGAATTTGAGGAGAGAGAAAAAGAGGCATCATAGGGATCTTGTTCATTGTCAAACGGTGCTCATGCCTTTCACCATATTTGCTGCACTGGAATAAAAAATTCATGAGTGGTTCGTCTCTGTTGTGCAAATTTCAGGTGAAAAAAAACTAAAGCAATATCCTGCTGAAAAATAAGCAGAAATAACCAACGCTCGAATCTCCACCACACTGTACAGTAGAAGGCTGTAACCTTGTACAACTACAACTTTCTGGACCCTGATGCTATAATTGCGTATAAAACAAGACATCTTTATCAACATTGAGATTACTCACTGAAAAAAGTATGCTTAGCTATAAATAATCACGAATTTGCACTTATAAGTCTGCCCCTGAGTGTCTTTTAAGTAGGGAATCAATTTTCTTTGATGGTTAGATTAAACAGGTTTACTAAAAATAGTAAGATGATTGCTTTCTATTTTTTTAATATATATATATATATAGGAGATATAAGAATGTCTAATCTTACATTCGGTATTGTTTCCGCTCCGTGGCTGATATATTGTATAAACAGCTCAATCAGTCCTTTAGACAGCTGCCTCCTTCAGCTCAGTGTTTTGGTAATGATGACAGGTGT